CTTTTTACATGTACGTTTTTAGTGAAGGGAATTTATCATTTTACAAAGATCAACCAAAAATTTGCGAACACTTCATTTTATGCGCACTGGGGGAATGTCTCAATAAACTCGGAGCATCACAGTGATTAAAATAGATACCTGGGATTTTGGCAATTGTTATGGGTTGCATGAACAAATCCACAAGGGCCGTGACGAGGATTCGAACCTGCGTCCGAGAGCATCCCAGACGCTGCCTTAATCGACCGAGCTACGACATGGTCAAAAGGAGTTGAAACCGAAGTTCTACTGAACTTACTGGATCCTGCAGCCTCTCCGAGGCACAAACCAGGGTTTTACACAACTCCCCCATGCACTCGAGCTATGTCAATAGGCCTGGTTTGTGCCTCAGAGAGGCTGCAGGATCCAGTAAGTTCAGTAGAACTTCGGTTTCAACTCCTTTTGACCATGTCGTAGCTCAGACGATTAAGGCAGCGTCTGGGATGATCTCGGACGCAGGTTCGAATCCTCGTCACGGCCCTTGTGGATTTGTTCATTTGATGCATCACGCAATTGTGATTTCTGTGTGTAATGGGTTGCATCATGAGGAAGGTGAGTAGTGCAACTTTCAACGCATGTTTTGCCTCTATTACCTGACACTCCTTCGTTATGCTCTGGCTATGTTATTACAGTACATACTGAAAGGGTATCATTCACATTACAGTGCCTGGTTGACCTCTCACCTTAGTCAGCTTCTATATCTTAGCATTTACCACAAATTACAAGCTAGCAGACCTGACTTGACTCTCTTCATTGCACAGAAGGTCATCTTTCCTCTTGGCCCTAATTGAAGCTCATTTCAATCTGTTCCTCCTTTTGGATGACATTACCAGTTGTAACTGGATGCCATTACCCATTCTACTACGTAATTATACGTAATATCTGGGTAAAAACCTACCTGGCCCCCGTACCGGGCTCGGGAGTAAAAGAACTCGCAGAACCCCCATCCAGGTACACCCACCTGTAACATCCACATCCAGGTACACCCACCTGTAACATCCACATCCAGGTACACCCACCTGTAACATCCACATCCAGGTACACCCACCTGTAACATCCACATCCAGGTACACCCACCTGTAACATCCCCATCCAGGTACACCCACCTGTAACATCCACATCCAGGTACACCCACCTGTAACATCCACATCCAGGTACACCCACCTGTAACATCCCCATCCAGGTACACCCACCTGTAACATCCACATCCAGGTACACCCACCTGTAACATCCACATCCAGGTACACCCACCTGTAACATCCACATCCAGGTACACCCACCTGTAACATCCACATCCAGGTACACCCACCTGTAACATCCCCATCCAGGTACACCCACCTGTAACATCCCCATCCAGGTACACCCACCTGTAACATCCACATCCAGGTACACCCACCTGTAACATCCACATCCAGGTACACCCACCTGTAACATCCACATCCAGGTACACCCACCTGTAACATCCACATCCAGGTACACCCACCTGTAACATCCACATCCAGGTACACCCACCTGTAACATCCACATCCAGGTACACCCACCTGTAACATCCACATCCAGGTACACCCACCTGTAGCATCCACATCCAGCAATACAGTCACTCTACATCATCGTGTGCACATTGTACCATTCTGTAATCTTGAGGTTATCTTGAGATGATTCGGGGCTTTAGTGCCCCCGCGGCCCGGTCCTCGACCAGGCCTCCACCCCCAGGAAGCAGCCCGTGACAGCTGACTAACACCCAGGTACCTATTTTACTGCTAGGTAACAGGGGCATAGGGTGAAAGAAACTCTGCCCACTGTTTCTCGCCGGCGCCCGGGATCGAACTCGAGACTACAGGATCACAAGTCCAGCGTGCTGTCCGCTTGGCCGACCGGCTCCCTTGTTTATTATACTCTCTGAACTGATTGTGCATTACATCATCTTTGAATAATTGTACCCTATATATTCATTATACTCTTTATATTTGTTGATGAGGTAACCTGGGGTACCTTCCTATTTGCCTTTATGCATTTGAAATGTAATTAATTATCATCATTATTATTAGTATTAGTATTATTAGTAGTATTTATAGTATTAGTGTTATTATTAATAATGTTATTATATTTCACAATTACGCTACTAATGTTCAGAAGAGCATTAGTAGAGTAATTGTGGCATTAAAATATTCTTACGAGTGAAACCACCATGCTGATCAACAATAAAATACAATATTTATCGAATTTGCTGCCGTACAAGTCGATCCGGCGCATAGGATGACTCCCAAGACATTAGAGGTGTAATTCAGGTTTAGGCCTATATTCACCATATAAGATGATCCCCCTGAACAAGCCAGCACCACTTCCCCTGCCCCACTGTATGGAAGAAAAAACTATGGTATCCCCAAAACTACGGGATTTACTGTATGCCCCGCTACGGTAAGGTAGTGTTGGTGGTTGTCAGGGGAGGCAGGTGGTGTCAGTGGTTGTCATGGGGTGTCAGTGGTTGTCATGGGAGGCAGGTGGTGTCAGTGGTTGTCAGGGGAGGCAGGTGGTGTCAGTGGTTGTCAGTGACTGTCATGGGAGGCAGGTGGTGTCAGTGGTTGTCAGGGGAGGCAGGTGGTGTCAGTGGTTGTCAGTGACTGTCATGGGAGGCAGGTGGTGTCAGTGGTTGTCAGGTGGTGTCAGTGGCTGTCATGGGAGGCAGGTGGTGTCAGTGGTTGTCAGGTGGTGTCAGTGGTTGTCATGGGGTGTCAGTGGTTGTCATGGGAGGCAGGTGGTGTCAGTGGTTGTCAGGGGAGGCAGGTGGTGTCAGTGGTTGTCAGGGGAGGCAGGTGGTGTCAGTGGTTGTCAGGTGGTGTCAGTGGTTGTCAGGGGAGGCAGGTGGTGTCAGTGGTTGTCAGGGGAGGCAGGTGGTGTCAGTGGTTGTCAGGGAGGCAAGTGGTGTCAGTGGTTGTCAGGGGAGGCAGGTGGTGTCAGTGGTTGTCAGGGGAGGCAGGTGGTGTCAGTGGTTGTCAGGGGAGGCAGGTGGTGTCAGTGGTTGTCAGGGGAGGCAGGTGGTGTCAGTGGTTGTCAGGTGGTGTCAGTGGTTGTCATGGGAGGCAGGTGGTGTCAGTGGTTGTCAGGTGGTGTCAGTGGTTGTCATGGGAGGCAGGTGGTGTCAGTGGTTGTCAGGGGAGGCAGGTGGTGTCAGTGGTTGTCAGGTGGTGTCAGTGGCTGTCAGGGGAGGCAGGTGGTGTCAGTGGTTGTCAGGTGGTGTCAGTTGTTGTCAGGGGAGGCAGGTGGTGTCAGTGGTTGTCATGGGAGGCAGGTGGTGTCAGTGGTTGTCATGGGAGGCAGGTGGTGTCAGTGGTTGTCATGGGAGGCAGGTGGTCAGTAGCTGTCAGGTGATTGTCGGGAGGCCAGTGGTTAGTAGTTGTGAGGTGGTGTGAGTGGTTGTCAGGGAAGGTTGGTGGTGTTAGTGGTGGATGTTGTGAGAGCGAGGTGAGTGAATGTCTCTCCCCGCAGGATTGGTCAAGCCTAGCGACACAAGACTTGCCGGTAGCTTGCTTCGACCCACCCCTTTGTACCCATTAGTACTGTATTTCATCTGTACATTACTATGTATTCCTTAGTAATAAAATGTTTGCTATTTGACTATACATTTGACGTATATATCAAATATATACGTCAAATGTAAATGTTGACATGAAACAATCTATCCGACGATATGCAGGCGATGAGTCACAATAACGTGGCTAAAGTATGTTGACCAGACCACACACTAGAAGATGAAGGGACGACGACATTTCGGTCCGTCCTGGACCATTCTCAAGTCGATTGTCTAATATCAAGTCGATTAAATATCCACAATATTTAATTGAAAGGTTCAGAAAATAATGTAAATAATTGGAAAAATTAATTAATTAATTTTACTAGCCACGGCAGCGTGGCTAGCACGGGTGAGCAGTGAATAACGTTTGTCAAGTGATTCCAAGCCACAAGCCAATTGAGAGATGATGATGATGATAATTATCACATTGTCTGCTCTGTAATTGCCTGTTTTATTAGCAAGATATCATACTGGAGCAATCATAATGCTGAAGATTGTGGTATATTGTAAATACCGTAGTTGGAATACACCTCCATTTAAGAACAATTTAACGACACATGGTGTAGCCTCTAGGCATGACAAAGTAACCATCAGCTGACTGGTGTTGTACTTACCTGTCAACCTAAAGTGTTGTGGGCAGAAGCACCTGCTCTGCCTCCCTCCCTGAACCCCTGACTGCCTGCCAGCCATCCATGCCTGCCCTCCTTTTCTGCCCACCTGCCTACCCACCCAAACACCCACCCAAACACCAACCCGCCCTGCCTTCCTCACTGCCTGCCTGCCTACCCACCCAAACACCCACCCGCCCTGCCTTCCTCACTGCCTGCCTGCCTACCCACCCAAACACCCACCCGCCCTGCCTTCCTCACTGCCTGCCTGCCTACCCACCCAAACACTCACCCGCCCTGCCTTCCTCACTGCCTGCCTGCCTACCCACCCAAACACCCACCCGCCCTGCCTTCCTCACTGCCTGCCTGCCTACCCACCCAAACACCCACCCTCCCTGCCTTCCTCACTGCCTACCTGGCAGGCTGGCTGACTCCCTCCTTCCTCCCTACCTCACCAGTTTGCCGAGAAATTTTTATACTTTCACAAGTGAAATGATCTTAATAACTGTGATGGGCTGTGAGAGTTATGGCAAGTGGTGTACAATGAGTGTTTGGCTCGGTGTTTCACTAATCTCTCGGTGGTAAAGGTTCACATTTTATATTCGGCGGCAAGTCGATCCTTCGTTTTGGAGAGAGGTTTTTTTAAGTCTCAAATGTCGACTTATACACCGGCATATATGGTACATTAGTTCTGCAGCAGGTGAGTTTTTAATGCCGAAATCATTGAAAAGGAGAGAGTACAGGACTTCAAAACTTCACTTACAAAATATTGGATGACATGTTGATTATCACTGAAATACTATAATAAGACACTTTCTTCCACTTGTTCAATTTTTCAGGTTCGATACGATGATGAAGCCAAACGAGTGGTTGTGGAACCCATTGAGCTTGCACAGGAATACCGCAAGTTTGACCTCTCGGCACCATGGGAACAGTTTCCCAATTTCCGAGAGCACGCAGCCGCGGAGGAGGTGCCAATAAAAGAAGAGAAGGAGTGAGCACAAGTTCTACCATAGGAACCTTAGGCATTGAAGGTCGTGAAGCAAATAATGTTTACTTAGTACGTCGCGACTTGTTAAGATTCTGGACAACTTATGGTTAGTATATTGATAAATTGATGCACATTATGCAATTAGTTTTGTTTGATAGCCAGTACTGTACAAGATGAATTGTGTATTTGGAGCAGAAGGAAATTAATATAAGCATACAGTAATATGACTTTATATTTTATGTAAATAGATGTAAATGTTGATTGAAATAAAAATTAAAGATGAATTTTTGTATATTATTGTGTCATCCATTTCTGAGCAATATATTAATGATGCAAAAGACTTCCTTAGGTCCTTAAAATGTATAATGCACATGTTATAAGTATTGTATTGGGTTTCAGTTGTTTTTATATAGGATGTAATTTTAATTAATAGAGATTTTAATTCTGGATGGTGCACGAAGAAGGGGTTGCACGTTGCCTTAGTAGTGTGAAGGGTTAGGACAGGTATGTTTGTTGTGAAGTATAGTTGACCAACTTCCCCTACTTAATGGTTAGGTATTCCCAGTAGGGGGATGTCTTGTGGTTTTGCTTTGTTTACTGTTATTCATTATTGGTTTTTGAACGAGTTTTTAAGCCACTTTGCCTTGAATAGCCTCTTATTGAAATTAGGAATTATTGGCGTTGATCATTGATGGCCATTTTACGTACAAAATTTTGGTCTGACATCTGCATAGAAATTTGGACACTGCCTGCAGCACTATGCTGTACAAGCAGCCAAATACCTCTGATGAGGAGGATGGAAGAGTAAGCTAGGAAGCTATCAGAGTAAGAGTAAGCTATCAACCAGGAGGCCTGGTCGACGACCGGGCCGCGGGGACACTAAGCCCCGGAAGCACCTCAAGGTAGCCTCAAGGTAGGTAGGAGCCATCTTCTCTAGTTCCTCATCCAACAAGGCCATAATGGCCTCCAGTCTGGGTCTTGTACCTGCAATAATTTGTGGAAGCAAGTGCAGACATGGAGGACTCAAATGTGTGAGGAACAACAGAGAAGTTTGGTTTTATATTAGAATGTGAGAGTGGTGTGGGAATTTCCCAGCAGGTGTTTAGTTATATTAAGGTTAATTATTATTGAGTAGACTGTAAAGAGTGGACTGTATGAGTGATTTATATTCCTGTTAGGTGTTACCACTTTCAAAACCTTTGGGAGGTTGATTTAATATTGCTAAATCCACCTTATGATATTATGTAATCATGAGGTTAGTAAATTTTGGTAAATAATATTTTCTATAAAGTTAGTAGACTAACTACAGTTATCAATGAATAAGTTGAAATTGAAATTGAAATAAGTTTATTGAGGTAAAATATACACAAAGGGATGAGCTAGCTCAAGCTATTCTCACCCCGTTCAGTACATCGTGTTAATACATATATAGACACACATCACAAGCAATAAACGTATTACCGAACATTTTGAGAGATAAACATATACATTTCCTCCTTTACACAAGTAAATGAATAAGTTAGGAGGCCTTAGCTGCAAAGTAGGTTTGTGTGTGTTACGTCGGGGGAACCTCTCGAATCAGTCCAAATTCTCGCCTTCTAGTTGGGGTGTCGAGTCCATGTGTAAAGCATAAGTTGAGGCAGCTGGCTCCCGGTTGCTTCTCTCTACTCTGCGGATAACATACAGTGTAATTCCTGCAGTACTATTATTTCCACAGTTAATCTCAAATGAATAGATTAACTGCCTATTAGGCCTAAACTTACTCTGGATGTTTAAATTCTCCTGCGGCGTAATGGCCGGCCTATTCCATCACATATTTAGCCATAAATACCAATAGGATGTCGGTATCCGACCAGACACAATTTCCCTTATTGTGTGAAGCTAGCAGCAGTCTGGGTGCCGTGAGACGTCAGATGACCTTAATATTGGACAACGCTAGTCGGCTTGCTTCAGCAGAAATCAGATCGAGCTCGTGTTGTCGTGAGACTCTGTGCGCAAGTGACGCGTCCTCCTCCCTCGATTGTGGTGAACATCTGGGAAATTAGTCACGTTATTTAATTTATCTCGTTCACTAGCCAAACGATATTGGCGTCATTTTACGCCCTAATATTTTACATCAAATTCCAGAAAACAATTTTTCATTGTTCATAACACTGGATCGAAGTTTTTTCGTGCTTTAAGCACATTTAAGAAATGCTGAATATGTGATGTGATTATTATTTTACCCATGAATCAACATGTCACAGATGTGGAAATTCACCTTGAGACGGAAGTACACTTTAATTCTTGCTAAATTTAATTAATTTCCAATCTAAATAACAAATACAAATAAAAGCAAATTGCCGACTGATTTTAATAAGAATTAGATAAAGAAATCGCCACCGCGTGAGACATGGTGGGTGACGCAATAACACACCATCGATACTATAAAACTTTTGGCACTTCCTCACTAGAAACTAATATTGATAGTAAATTTAATTTCCTAACACAACGCATTTATCTTGTTGCGCTAGGGGTTAGTGCTTTGGGTATTGGAAATTTCCGACAAATGAAAAGGTGTAAGGATTATATGGGGAGGAGTGAGAGAAAATAAGAGTAATCAGAAGATATTTGCAGACAATGAGTAACAATGACTTTGTCACAGTTACATCATTTGTAACAATGACAAATGACATTATTGAAGATATGACAACCAAACCACACACCAGAAGATGAAGAAATGACATTGTTTCAGTCCATCCTGAACCTTTATCAAGTTGTACGTGACACGACTTTATTATGGTTCAGGACAGACCGAAACGTCGTCGTTTCTTCATCTTCCGGTGTGTGTGGTTTGGCTATCAGGAAAATGCTTGTTATTGGGAGAAAGTGGTATGTAGTAATCATTGACATGTTATTCATGCCCTGGACAGAGTGGTACAACAAGGCACTGTTCCTTCACCGCTTTCCCCTGATGCACCCACCAAAATTGGAAACTTTGATTTGACTATTGGTGTGAAAAACTCTTGGAAAAAATGACACGGTTGGGCAGTTATATCCTCAAAGAGCAGGTTGTCCTAAGGCTGAAGGCTTGCTCAGGTTTGCCCTGCAAAAAATATGGCAAAAACAAAAGAGGATTGTGGAGTAGTTTAAGGTGTATTGTAGGCGATGAGTCACAATAACGTGGCTAAAATATGTTGACCAGACCACACACTAGAAGGTGAAGGGACGACAACATTTTGGTCCGTCCTGGATCATTCTCAAGTCGATTGACTCGACTTGAGAACTTGAATCGACTTGAGAATGGTCCAGGAAGGACCGAAACGTCGTCGTCCCTTCGCCTTCTAGTGTAAGGTGTATTGTGTTTGAAATTCATATTTGATATAATTAAAGAGTGGCTGTTATGCATGTGCTGAGTGTAATGAAAACGAACCAGCTTTTACAGAGCTACATCATCATCTGGGAAAGTTAACTGGAACAATTAAGTGAACAGAAGCCCGGATCATAAATATGGTGGATGATTACTATGAATATTTATGGATAACAAAAAGTCATGCAAAATAACCCCAAAAAATTGGTTAAAAAAAAATTAGGGAAACTATTGATTGATGAATTTGAATCCTCTACTTAAGACGACTTGCAGACCTTTACTTGGATTCAAAACTACCATTATTATCCTTTTGGAAAAAGCTATGGTATAAATTGGATTGTAAAACTAAAGAATGTGTAGGTGACTGAATTTATGGCACTCGATATGTCTTGGTCACTTTAGTACTTGAGTTTGGCCAGGTAATTATATCACCCATTTATATAGGAATTTCACCAGTAATGACCATTATATAATGTGCTAGTTATGTAATGGAAAACACTGTGTTATATATAAGGAGCTACACAAGTTAAATGACACCAGAAAAATGGGGCAACTTTGACCGGACCTGACAAAGTTTTACATTACAGGAATGTAATGTAATTACCTAAATGTAGTTACAGGATGAGAGCTACACTCGTGGTGTCCCGTCTTCCCAGCACTCTTTGTCATATTACACTTTGAAACTACTGATGGTTTTGGCCTCCACCACTTTCTTACTTAGCTTGTTCCAACCGTCTACCACTCTGTTTGCAAAAGTAAATTTTCTAATACTTTTTCGGCACCTTTGTTTCCTTGGCTTGAATATATGACCTTTTGTTCTTGAGGTTACCAGTTTCAGGAATTTCTCTTGTTGTCTTGGTCAGTTCCTGTCATTATTTTGTAAGTGGTGATCATATTGCCTCCTTTTCTTCTGTCTTCTAGTTTTGGCATATTTAATGCATCTAGCTTCCCTTCATAATTCTTGTTTTTCAGTTCTGGAAGCCATTTTGTACCATGCATTTGCACATTTTTAATTCTTTTTGTGTGTGAGCTATGGGCACATTACAATTGCTGCATTTTGGTCCCACAAAAGTCATGAACAATTTCTTTAGTATTTCACTGTCCACGTAATTAAAAGTGATTCTGAAGTTGGAAAGTACAGCATATGCTCCTCGCGCAATGTCCTTTATGCATTTCTCTGACGACTGTTTCCTATCCAGAACCACCCATAGATCTCTTTCTTTAGTAGAGTGCTATAAGTCCCTTCCACATCCACATCATTTGTAGGTTGTACTCACCTAGTTGTGCTTGTAGGGGGGGGGGGTGAGCTCTGGCTCTTTGGTCCTGTTTCTCAAACATCAATCAATTGGTCTACAGATTCCTGAGCCTATTGGGCTCTTATCATATGTACATTTGAAACTGCGTATGGAGTCAGCCTCCGCCACATCACTGCCTAACCCATTCCACCTGTTGACTACTTTGACACTGAAAACGTTCTTTCTAACATCCCTGTGGCTCATTTGGGTACTCAGTTTCCACCTGTGTCCCCTTGTTTGCGTACCACCTGTGTTAAACAGTATATCTTTATCAACCCTGTCACTTACTCTGAGGATTTTGTAGATAGTGATCATGTCTTCTCTAATTCTTCTGTCTTCCCGTATTGTGATGTTTAGTTCCAGTAATCTTTCTACATAGCTCATTCCTCTCAGCTCGAGGACAAGCCTAGTGGCATACTTCTGAATCTTTTCTAACTTCATTTTCTGTTTGACTAGATGTGAACTCCATGCTGGAGTCCCATATTCCGGTATTGGTCTGACGTGAGATACAAGGTTCTGAATGATTCCTTACACAAGTTTCTAAGGTCAGTTCTTATGTTTGCTAGCCTTGCATATGCTGCTTATGTTATCCTTTTGATATGGGCTTCAGGGGACCGGGCTGGTGTGATATCAATCCCCA